TGTGTGTGTGTGTGCACGCCATGGTATGTGGCAGGGGCATGCACGTGGAGATGCCGTGTGCTAAAAGCAGTGTGCCGAGCTGAGCTGAGCCGAGCGGGTCCGAGCCGAGGTGGGCCGTGGGGTGTGGCTGTGCTGTGATGCCAGGAGGGAGGAGGGAGGGGAGGGAGGCTGTGAGGAGGAGGGTTGGGGGTGTAGGCGTGGTCGGGGGACGGGTGGCGAGGGGAGTTCACTTACCAGAGATCTGCGGCTGGATGCCGGGCTGGTCGTTGGAGCTGAGCAGCTGGGCCTGGATGGTCTCAACCACACGCTTGAAACGTCGGCTGGGACCTGATGAGAAACCAGTGACACCTTGTTGTAACACACATTAGTCTATAAACCAGCAGCGGGGCAAGAAGTGGCAGGACAGAGAAGTATTCATTAATGCGTTCATTGTGTTACACTAACTGTGCATTCTCCACCTCTGTTGTAGAGATTTGGGAAAATGATGAGTCACACTGATGCAAACAGGTGCAACCTCCCTGCAGCTCCCCAGAAAACCTGACTTCACAAGACCCACTTTCTGGAAACTCAGCAGCTTAATGCAAAAACAAATGACTCCGTGGTCCATTAAGAGGACGATCGCAGGTCATTTCCATCCTGGAAAATCAAGTGGGGGAAAAAAAGCGGCACCCAGCTCTCCACATGGTGAGTAAAAGATTTAATGCACCGAATGTGTTGCTTGCTGCAACCTCTAATGCCACATGCTAAACAGAGAAACAATCCACAGCATCCACAACATGTAAACAAACAGGCTGCGTGGATGAATTTGCTGGTGATATGGAAGGTAGTGCAGTTACCAAACCAGTCTCGAAACCAGTGTGCATACAAATCAGGTGTGTGCATGTGATACAGGATTAGAACAGTGAGTGGTTGTCATGACGTTCTGTCCCACCATCATTTTTGGGTAAAAAAAAAAAAAAAAAAAAAGATTTTGACTCACATCTAGAAGATGAGATAAGTTTTATTGTATAAAACTTATTTTAACCAACCATTTATTACATGTGGTGTTATGAGCCCTAAAAGTTTACCCAGAATGCACTTTTTAAAGTTATCTCACGTGAATTATCAGAAAACAGAAAACACATCCAGGGTACCAATGCTTGTTTTAATGACTCTAATAAGCATTAAACTGGTGATGTTTGGCTACTTGCAGTTTGAAACTATAATACATCTCATGATATTGATGCTTAAAGTTGGTTATAGAAGATTAAAGCTTCAGAGTGTGACACCTGGAGGGGACGAAAAATTGAAAAATTGATTTGGTTGCAGTTTTAAGTCGAACTCAAATGTGTTATTCAGTCCTGAAAAGTTATGAGGGCTCAAAAATGCTGACAAAAGTTACGCAAATAAAAAAAAAAAAAGAAATTTCGACCCACATTCGTATCCTTTGAGGGACTGTAACTCTGTAAATATTCATAGTATGACAGTGGCTTTATTAAGTATATTAAAGTTGCTGTCCATAAAACAATCTGCTGATTCTGAGGTCAGGTGGGAACTTTTTTTCAGATTTGCTTGACTTTATATGTAATGACCCAGCTGCTTGTCTTCAAACACTGCTCTCATCTCCCTTCATCACCACTGAGGTGGATTAGACAAATCTGCAACGTGATATTAGCGTTTAATCGCGCTAACCTTGATACAGCCAGAATACCAGGATTATGTATGTGAACACAATCATAGTGAGGAAAATGTCACTTTGGTGGAGGTAATAACTTACAGGAGCCACAAATAGACTCTAAATCACTGGTTTAATTTATGTTAATGCATATAATCAGTTACAAGACACAACGCATGTTTACTTTTGTCCTAATCAGAAAAATAACTGCTATTTAAAGATGTTTGTGAATGTGAACTTAACTGAGCAGCACCTCACTAATTACACTGAAATATTCCCTGACAACGTTGGAGCAGTTCTTCAAGGTGAGGCTATTAAGTAGTCGGATGGATTGAAAAGAAAAAGGAGCGCGGTACTGAGCTGAGAAAGTTCTTGTTGGGCTCATTTTTATGCTACGTGGGGAGAAGATTAAACATTCATGATGTGGCCTTGTTCAGGCACCTCAACATTTCAGGGCTCTGCTCCTCATCACTGAATATTGTAGCTCTGCTCATTCATGTTTTATGCAGCGGCTCTTTTTATACTCGTGTTTACGCCCAGTTTCCCAAAAGTATGTGGACACCAGAACGTCCCACCTATACATCACTGTGTTTAATTAACATCAGTATTTGTCTATTAACAGTGAGATTATCATCTGACTGCATTCCTGCTGTCAGTGCTCTCATCAGTTCTGTTTTCAGCAGGTATATCTAAATGAAGACAAATAAACTCGTTTGAGTGTGTTAAAGATGTTTCACCGCAGAATCTGAAAAGCTTCTTTAGTTCTAACTGAGTCGTAGGGAGTTCCAGCATCTTGATCTGTGAGAAGGGTTTCTGTTTACTTCTGTCATCTTTAATGTGCAGCACACAGTCCAGGAGGGTCAGACTGTTCTACAGACTTTGATGTATTCTGTAAAGGCTTCCTGCGTTTTAATGCTGATCCAGATGTGATCCACGTACCTGCTCTCCACATCATCCATATTGTAGGCAGCGGTGAGTTCATGGCACAGCTGAGCTTCTGTCTGTACAAACCTCATTATATTGTCAGTAGGTGGCTGTCAGACGGAGGTGGAGCAGAGATCATATGTAGTTCTGTCCTGTAGCTGTATTGCTTCTTGGATGAAGAGTGAAGTTATGTTGTAGGTTACCATGGTTTCATCTGAGTCCAGCTTGATTTTTCTAACCTTGTCGATAAAATCCTTTCTGATGCTGTGTGGAGCAGAGATGATGGCGAGGCGTTTGGCAGAATGTTAAGTAACTGAGTTGATGCTACTGATGATGGGGTGAGCGAGATTACCTCATGGTGCACCATGGGATGTCCATGAGGGAAGGTGTGACCTCCTTGGATAAAAAATGATAACATAGTGGTTGACTTTGTGGCTTTCTTTTTCCAGCTTTTGTCGGCACTTTATCACCTTCTTCTTGTAGGTGGCTATAAGAGGACTGGTCACCTTGTCCTGGTAGTTTGCTGATTTTAGCACCACCGTGCATCTTTATTCATTGGCTGGCAGCTCAGTTTATTTTTAGTGATTCCAGTGGCTTTATTTTTTTTTAATGTTAAGGTTAGAAGATGGTACTTTCACACTGGTGAGGGCAGCAGACACCTTCAACCTGAGCTGTTCCACCTCTGTTTCTTGCCTCTTCCTCTTCTCTCAACCCTCCATATCCTCTCCTCATTTCTTTCTGTCAGTCTCCCTAACACTCTCCTGCTTTCTTCGCTCTCCTTCTGCTCCTCATCTCCTCATATTTGCTAAAGAGACAGAACAGCTCAGGTTGAAAGTGTCGGCTGCCCCATCAACTGCCATCCAACCTGACCATCCAAGAAAAGAAGGCACAGACATCACGGAAAAAAAACACCAAACATCACCATCCTGCTGGCTGATAAAGGGAGATGCACAGTGGTGTTAAATACAGCAGATTTCCAAAGTGAACATTCGTCTTTCAACTCCTTCTGAGACACTGAGGTGAGACCTTACTAGCAACCAACCAACTGGGAGGAGAAAAAACCCACTAACTGACCACTATATTACTGTTTGTACCCCGAGAAAGCCCCCTTGTATTTATGGCCACCCCAAGACACAAGGAATTAACTGATACATCATCGGTAGCATCAACTCATAACCTACAGTTATCCCTAACACTGCATCACATCAGAAACTCCAGGATTTTATCAACGATGTTTGATAAAACTATGGTAACCTGTGATTTTACTTCATCCTGAAAGCAGTAAAAACTGTACAGAAACTTGTGCTGCAGGACAGAACTCTGTCCAGCAGAACCAACCTCACCTCAGACCACATATGATCTCTGCTCCACCTCCGTCTGACAACCACCGACTGACAATATAATGAGGTTTGTACAGACAGAGGCTCAGCTGTGCCGTGAACTGTCTACAATACAGACACCTGGGTCAAAATCGAAACAAAGGAAGTAAAAAGCTTCACAGAACACACGAGCGCGGCAACATCAAGTTCACTCAGGGAGGAAACCGTTCGGTCTTCTTGGACTGTGTGGTTCACATTAAAGCTGACAGAAACTCCCACACTGATCAATATCTACAGGTTGATTCTCAGCACCAACTGGAGCACGAGCTGGAGGTTATCAGAATCATCAAAAACATGTTTTCACCCAAACCAGAGAGGGGGGGGGGGACGTTATGTTGCTGGAGGATCATCAGCAAACACCAGATCTCTTTGTACTTCAATGCAATGGTGCTAAACCTGAAGATTCTTAATTCATTATCATATGAATCATACAAAAGCAGCCGTTCCTCCTATATGACATGCTGGAAGCTGGACATTTTAGGCAGTTGTGCTTGATTAAAGAGCAATTTAACTGTAGGAATCATATGTAACCTGGACTTCTAAATTACATTATTTTATCCTTGATGCCATTTAACTAGCAGCGGAGCACTTACTTGATACAACTGTATGGACTGTGAGCTGTTTACCTGACAGCAGGGTGAAGGTGACGGAGTAGATGCCGTTCTCCTTGGTGGCGCTGGTGCTCTCGGTGTAGGTGATGTCCACCTGGAACTTCACCGGCTTCTGGAACACCGTCGGCCCGGCTGTGGACTTGTACTCGGCCCGGAAACTTGTCTGAGAGATGACGCTGTGGCTCAGACTGGGAATCTGGGAGAGAAAGTCTGAGTCAGCAGCAGCACAGACAAACAACCTCTGCATCGGCTGGATGTGAGAGGAAGAGATGGCAGCAGAAGGAGACGGTGTTTCGGACGTGTCGCATCTTAACACGTCGTGGCATTCTGCAGCGTCAGCGTCTGAGTCAACACTGACAACAGGCTGCGGCACACGATGCAACATGACTGAACACTCACCTCAAGTCCAACCTGCACCTGAACTGACGTCTTTAAACACGTGTGTCTGAGTTATTTCTGAATTTACTGTTCATGTTATTTTGTATTTGAAAGAAGAATTAGGATGTTTGGACTGACTGTGTTTTTAGCATTTAGCATCAAAGAACTGTTCAGTACCAGCGACTTGCTGAGATAATTTACCTGTTTTTAAATTTGTATTTTGAAAAAAAAAAAACTATTTTAATGCTCCAAAATGTTAGAATAAATAATGCAGCACTTAAATCTAATGCGAAGAAAATAATGTTACACCATCATAAAGTAGTGGTGCCAAACGCTAATTAGCTTAGCTTAGCTTAGCAGAGCAGCAGTTGATGTCATCACTGCAGCCTCGGATTTGAGAAGAATTTATGTGATTTTAATTCTTTAAACTAACCTTAAATCGTATATTTACAGTAGAGCCTGACTGAAATTAGCTCACTAACGAGCTAGCAGTTTAATTACACATTTCTGTGGCGTAATACTGACTAGATATGCACCAATATGGAAACTTTTTTTTACAGAACATACACCAGAAAAAAAAAAAAAAAAAACCTTGGGGTCATTTAGAAATCATTTAGTTTTTCTGTTGATTGCCATCCTCTCAGCACTGCCAGGACAGAAGGGAACGGTGGAGACTTACGGAGAGGAAGGCGTGGACGATGTCGGCCTTTATGGAGCTCAGAGGTTTGTCTCTGATCACAATGAAGATCTGCTCCTCCTTCTCCAGGTTGATGAAGTTCCCGAACCATGACTTCTTCGCCAGTCTGCAGAGGAGAGGAGAGCTGAGATCAGAAATGATGCTGGACACATGACACGACTCAGAACGGCTGCTTAAACTCACAACAATGTAAAGCTGAAGTTTGTCTAACTAGCATGCAAAAATGACATAAGCTTCAGTTTACTTCTGTTCTTTAGTGGATCTGAACAAACTTCCTGATATGACAGATGAGGAAGAAAGAGGAAATAATGTTGAGTGTCGTCCTCGTATATCCAAAGTAGAAGCAGCAGCAAAATAAAGTAGCATCATAAAGTTAGCTGTAGGAACTGTACCAACTGGATTTGATGCACATTTCTATTGTGTATAGTCGTGTTGCAAGAGGATCAGATCAATGTATTCACATCAATGGTACCTATTTTCAAGCACCTTCATGCTGGTTTGCATCAAAAAGGATTCATTTGTAAATCATAGTTTAACTTTAAATTATGTTGTACCAAACTTGAGAACTAAAATCGATTAAATTAAAATTTACACCATTTATTAGAACCAGAAACTGTTAAAGGAGAAAGAATTGTCAGTAACCCTGATTTTCAGATAGTCCTTGAACTATGTTATGAGCCATTCAATCAAGACAATTAAACAAATCTAAGCTTGAAGTTTTAGTTTTTTCAATAAAATCAATTTATTCTACATGTCTCAAAATAAATAAATGCTAAAAATAACCCTTTCTGCTCTGATCAAATTCTAAAACTGAGAGATCAGTAGTGAATTGGCTGCAACCACCAATCACAAGACAAACAGTGAGAGAGCATTTGGTTGAACCTCAGGCAGTGTTTCCTCAGAGAGGAGGCAAGTGTGGAATCAAATTCAGAATGTAAGTATTAACGTATCTACAGTAAACAGCTATGTTTTATAAGTATATGTAGCACCTGTGGACACTTGGAAAAATGTTGTACATGTTGATTTCAGATTTTTCAAACTTTGTAAAATAAATAATCAAAGAAATCCACCTTCTGTTTTCTTCTTCTTCTTTTAATGATTTATGGCATTATAACTTCATCGTACTGCACTGAAGACATTTTGAGTTCTCTCTCCTTCTAGCCATGATTGTCCTGTTTCCACAGAGGTGCAGGACTTTATACTGAAGTGGAAAAATGAGTCCACGGTGAGTAAAACTGCTTGGTGCTGTGGGTTAAATCTGGATTCACACCTACTTTTGCTGAACTTTGCTTAGAACTAATCTCAGATTAAATTAATCTTTGTTGCTGTAACCCAACATTAGTGTCGTAATGTTTGGGCTGAAGCACCTTTTATTTTTTAGGAGGATCTCCTAATTCAGGAACTACTTTTAATGTGAGGATTTATTTCCACAGTTTGCCGAAATTGAGCAGAAAAGTTACTCTACATTAATAAAACTGCATCACACTATACGCATATACTACGTTAAACTCGAGCGAAACTTGAGCGAAAAAACAAATATTATTTGTTGGGGACTATTTTCTGAGGCAGGTTAATCCACATTTGGCTCTAGTGAGGGCTTTTGGCAGCAGGATTGAACTAAGGTAGAGTTTTTCCAAATTAATGGTATTATTTTCAGTCAAATTTCTATATTTAAACGACATATCAATACATTCTCTAATTTACTTTAAAATAAATAAAACTATTTACGGCATAATAAAAGCTACCAGATTCAAATTCTTCAAACTGCTTAAAGCTTGCAAACCTAAAAATCTCCCCACATGACAGTTTCCATCACTGATGTTTAATTAATTGACATGTAGAAATCAGCTTTCACTTTGACATGAAAGACATTGTTTTTTTTTTTTTTTTTTTCTGGTAAATTCTTGTTTAAATAAACTGACTTACTGTATTAGATGTTGGGTGAAAATAAAACGTGTTTTCATACAAAAATGTCCACAAAGCAGCTGCTGAGGTGTGATGCTGCGTTACTCACTCTGGAGAGGAGTCTGGGGTGAGGCTGGACATGTCCTCCTGGGTGGGAACTGTGGATGCAAAAAGGTCAAAGGTCACGATCGTGTAGGATTCTGTTCCAAACTATGAGATTCTTCTGTCTTGTTCGTCCACTGTGAGAATATTTGGCCTCTTTTTGTCTTTGTTTAGTTTGTCTGGAGGGTTTTATGGCGCCGTCAAAGCAGCTGCGGGAGCTCTACCCCAAACTAAAGCAGAAAAGGGTGAAACGGTCAATTTTGCGCGCTCAGTAATGAGGCAGTAATCGTCTTTATGACGTGGCCGCAGGCTGCAGACGCTGCTGATAAAGTTGGCAGCAGGTGAAGCGAAGCTGAATGCAGCCATTAAGAGCGCAGAGATGATTTGTACTTATTCCCCTGAGCTACGAGAATGCAGCTCGGTGCATAAACACACTCCGCTGAATCGATTATCATACAGATAAGAATGAGACGATATCATAAAAATCTGACCTGAATAAATCAGAAACGCCTCCCGTTCCCTCCTCCTGGGGCTCAACAGTACATCGCTTCAACATGTAGCGATGTGCGCAACAGTCACGTTACAGGATAAATTCACTCACACACATCGTTCTACAACTTGTTTTGCTGCTTGATACATAAAGAAAACTCGCATGGTTCTCATTTTCCAGAACTAATACACAAGAGAAGTCTGTCTGATAGAAGATCATTTATTCTGATTTAAGGCTTCTCGGATACGCTGAGATTTAGTTTTTTGCATTTTTTTATTCACAAAAGATGTTTATTGACATGCAGGCTCTGTGTGATCAACAGGAAAACACTGAAAAGGAAGATTTGGTTACAAAAATACGTATTTGACTGTTTAAATCAGCACCACAAGCTGGAGAGCAGATATGAATAAGATGAAAAATTGGAAAATATATGAGAAAAGTTCCAAAAGCAAACAAAAAACGACTATTTGTGTTGTAGATTCATCTTTTGATTATTTTCTTAATTTTCTTGTTAGTTGTTGGTCTGTCAACATGTCAGTGTTTCCCAAACCAAAGATGACAAATGTCCCAAAGATATTCAGTTCACTGTTATAAAGGAGAAAAGAAACCAGCAAAATATTAAAATTTAAGAAGCTAAATTCAGAGAACTTTATATTTTTTTCCAAACCGATTAAAAAGAAGTTAAAATATTTAAAATATTTACATTTAAGAAGCCGCAATAAGAAAATCTACTCAAACTGATTAATCTGTTATTCAAGTAGTTAATTATTAATTTAACAGTTGACAACTAACTGATTAATAAATGCAGCTCTAGTTTTAAATGTTTTTTTTCAGCTTGTTTTAAAACAATTTTGAAAAACGTTCTTCTTCTTCACTCTGCTAAAAAATCAGCCCAATCATTCAGGGGTGATGAACTTTCCCAGAGGAACATCTTACTGCTCAAAGTTTGATCTTCTTTAACTCAGAAGGCAAAATTGTGATTCTCATTTTAGCCTTTTGATTTTGTCTGATATGTTTTTAGTATTTTTCTCCTTAAATTCACAAACAGAAACAGGTGAGACAGGAGGAGGATTTGAGACTTAAAGGAGAAACTTTCCCAAACTAATATGTAACTCAGTACAGTTGTTATTATGCTTGTATTAGTTCAGGGTGAAGGCAGGGGACACCCTGGACCTTCTTGCTGCGAGGCAGCGATGCTAACCACTGATCCACCTTGCAGCCTGTCCCAGGAATATATCAGACAAAAATCTAACTAAACTGAGCCTGTAATGAGAATCACAATTTTTCCTCCCAAGCTTTGAGCAGTAACACTTTCCTCTGAGCTTCCAAGTAGAGTTACTGAAGTCATCTGCTTAAAATCCCTGTATTGTTTAATGTCACATAAAAACCAGATGTTCCAGTCTGTCCCAGCGTCCTGCAGATGTCCTCACCTTGCATTTTCCTGCGGTGGAAGCGCGGCGACCCCAGGAAGCTGTTCTTGATGGAGTTGAGCCGCGTCCTCCAGGGCATCCCGCCGATAGACGGGCTGGGCGGCGGTGTCGGGCTGGGCGTGCCGGCCGGGCTGTCCTTGGGCGTGTGCACCGGGGTGCCCTTGGGGGTGGGGAGGGGGCTCCCTCTGGGGGAGGGGTGGGGGGTCACCTGCGTGATGGGGACACATTTGCCGTTGTGGTCAGGGTGGAGGTGGTGCCGGCGGAGCGGCGACATGGGAGGCACCGGGGAGAGGGGGATGGACAGCTTGGGGGGGACGGTGAGGGGAGGGTGGCGCCTCACCCGGGGGCTGTTGGGGATGCAGGGGGCCAGGGGCTGGCAGGGAGTGGTGGGCTCAGATTTGGGGGTGGAGGGGGTCTGGGCGGTGTTGGGGAGCGGGTTGGACCTGGTGGTCTGCAGGGGCTTCTCGGACACTTTGGGCTTGGCAGGGAGGGTCTGCGTGCGGGGGTGCATGAGGGGGGAGCCCATCTTTGGATGGAAGGAGTTGGGGGTCCGCGGCCCCACCCCGTTGAGGCGGACCTCGGGGGAGTGGGTGGGGCTGCAGTTGGGGGACTGACAGAGGTCTGGGGACTGAGGCGGGATGAAAAACCGCCGGTGGGGCTGCGATTGGTCGAGCAGCGTTACACATGACAGCAGGTTCAGCCAATGAGACAGCAGAGGAACACATGAACCCACAGAGGTTCATTCCCATGACAGAAAAAGCACACCAGGAAATAAAAAAGGAGCGCGGCAGATGTGTGGAGAGGTGGAGCAGGCAGGGAGTGGTGAGAGTGCAAGAAAGAAAGAAAAACAGAACATGCGATTAGCACAGTGATTAGCCAATCAGGAGGCAGCAGTGGAGCATTCATGAGGCAGTAACAGCAGGGATGCACCGAGATCCAAACACCGACCACAGCTGGGTTCAATCAGTCTGATTCCACAAATAAAGTATTCTGTCACTTTTCATTTTGCACTAAAATATTGTTTGTTTCTGTCTGACAGCTAATTTCAGTGGAAATTTAGATTTTTTTAATAAACTTCTTTACTTAGCTGAACTAAAAAAATATTCAAAAACTACTACCAAGTACAGTATGTCAGGATGCAAAATAAAAATGCCCAGAACATTATCTAATATAAAAATGTACTAAGCTCTGCTGAGCGGGGTAACATCTCAGTGGCTGTCATGTGTGACATCATGATTAAACTATTTAAAGTGGGGTAAAGCTAACAGAGGCACAAGTTAAGACGTAAGAATCACAAGACAGTGAAATACATCAAAAAGTCCATTTACTTATTTATAATGAATAATGATCAATACTGGGAGGGACATATTAAGTGGGTGTTTGGGCATTAATCACTGAATTTCCTGCATTCTGGTAAATCACCAATTTGTGTCTTTTCTGCATCAGTTTATGGTGGAAATATTGTAGTTTATGTTTAGGGACACACAGAATTCAGGCATCAGATGACAAATCAGAATATAATGGAATATATATATGGATCTAATTACAGTTATGGATTTAATTACAGTCCCTACAATGGATTCAGAGCTCATAATTCCTATTTTGAGAGTAAAAAATATCACTTTTTCATCAGAGGCCTTGTTTAATCTGTTGTAACATTACAGCATTTTCCTGCTTCTTGTGTGTTTTTATTGGGAGCCATGTTCTAAATACTGAAGGGGACATGTTCCCTGAATCGACACTGAAATCTACACCTACGGTAACAGAATATTTATCTATTTAAGTTTTCTAATATTAGCCATCTAGACAAACCAGAACAAGCAGGATCCCCCAAATGGGCTCAAGTGAACATTGGGGAGTTTTATTGCCTAAATTCAAGCTTATATTGAAAAGTATAGAAGCAAGTTTCCATAACTTCCAGTCTGATGCTCCTTTAACATATCTCCCTGATATTTGAGAAAAGCATCCTTTGCATCTGATAATGAACCCATGATCAACTAATCAATCACATCCAGCAGACTGACAGACAACTCTCTCTACATTCCCTGAAAATGAGGATTTTAGTCGACAGAATGTATTCACGATACATCGGTGCATCCCGAATAACCAGCAAATGACCCAACTTGAAGGCTAACAGATTTAGCTTCACCCTCCACCTGGGAAAGCGGCCAGAGAGCATGCTCAGTGCTGACGCACAATGCTGTGGGATGAATGAGCAGATCGCTGCTGAGAGCAGTGAGAAGTAAAACAAAGAGGCCGGAGAACCCGACTGAGCCGTCAGTCTGTTCTTAGAGCAGCTTTAGGAAGAAGTGTGAAGACTGATGAGCATGAAGTGATGCTCTGATGTTTAGGAGTTTAACTCTGGAGTCACAAACTCGTCATCTCATCAGGGGCCTCATGCAAGAACTGCTCCAGTGAAGATTTGTTTTAAACTGAATCAACCCTCAGAACCCTAAAACCTGTTGGCTGGTGAGAAGACAATGATAGCTTTTTTTTATTTTAATAAACAAAAGCGCCAAATTAACGATAATAGCATTTTAAGCCACAAACTGTAAAAGCTGAGAGAATCATTAGACTCATAACCTTCTGATGGTTCTTGAACTAATCATGTGTGATGTGTGGTTCCATTAATCCAAAATTTAACAAATCTGAGCTTAAACTTCTAATATTTCATCAATATTGCTTCATTCTAAATTTTGTATTTTAAAAAAATACACCAAAAATAAACCATTTGCAGTAAACTGATTCTGTAAATAACGCAAAATTCTGCAGTTCTCAGCTCAACTAAGATATCAAGATTTACTAGGCTGTGACCAACAGCTGTATGACAAAAATTCTGCGAGATTTTGGGTGAATTGCAGGCTGTTTTCACAGAGCAAAGAGGAGTATTGAGACTAAATTAAAAATGTAAGAAGTAAAATATCTACAGTATGTAGAGCTACAATTCTTCTTGCATTGATAACACAAGAAATATATTTATTTTCCTTTTTTTTTGTTGCAATTTATATCATTATAACTGTGTCAGACTGTACATTTCTGAGTTCTCTCTACTCCTAGTCATGGTTGTTCTGCTTCCATTGAGGTGCAGGACTTTATATTACAGTGAAAAATGAGCCCACGGTAAAAATGTGACAGGAGAAAAAAAAAAAGGCACCCAGAACCCAGAAACTGCTTGGAGTTCAGAGGGTTAACAAATCTTGTTACACTGACCAATTTTTTTCACAGTAAGAATTTTCTCTTATGTACAATTCTATTCATGTCATATTACAACTTTCTGTCTCAGGAGGAAAACGTGATTTTCACATTTATTTCACCTCCAGGATGCGCTGACATAGGAACACCTCTGAAAATAATCATTTGGATCACAGAAACACCAAAAACTCACACCAAACTGTTCATCCTGTACCATATTGTTCAGGGTGAATAATATGTCATAGCACTAGTTAATGAACCAGTAGAAACTAGTAATGGAGTTTTGGAATTTTATCAGATTTCTTTTGATCTCTTTTGCAGGAATCTACTAAATTCAAATAAAAATGACATGGCTAAAGAATGAGAAGATGTCATTTTAAGATCCTTTAAGTAATTTTGTGTAAAAAAAACAAACGTCTGACACAAAAAAGGAGATAATCTTTAACATTCTGTTCTTTCTTCCATCTACTCTCAAACATCTCTCACAGTTTTCTGCTTCTAACTCCATGTCGGTGCGACTCTACTTCTGGCTTTGTGATGTCTGAATACAACTACAGACACTGTTACATATGTTATATTTCTCACAGCTGGTTTCTGAGGTTCTTCTTTTTACCTTTGGTTGACATTTACTGAGTGAAAACGTCCACCAATGGAGTGGAATATGGAGTCTTTTATGGCGGTTTGGGGGTGTCGGACGTGACCTTTCTATCCTGTGAATCCAGCATACTGGGTATTTCACCTACAGAGGACTTGGTGAATCCGCTTTGTCACACTTGTACGAGCTTAAAATAAGTAAAAGAGGTGTTCTTGCATGAGGCCGGATGACTTTCGTTCGTTAGCTTCATATAGAAACAGGAAGTAAAGACTAAAATCTGCCGTCTCTTCAGTTTGCAGCCTGATAAGCAGAATATAGCACTGAAGAATTAAACAAAGACAAGAGCTTCTGTGTGCCTTTGCATGATAGAAGATGTTTGATGATACACACTTGGCGTCCTTGCTGAGGGTTAGTTTTAAAAAATGCATGGCTTTACGGAAACAAAAGCAGCACAGGGAGGCTGCGGGCTGATTTGCACAGTTAACCTCCTGCTTCGTCTCTGCAGCAGCAGTTTTACGGGCCGGAGTGATGGATCGATTCTTCCGCTAATCTGCAGCTGCATGAGAATCTGCTCCGTATGGACATTAATCACCGGATCTCATCTGGAGTTTGGCCTCCGATAGATCCGGTGCCGCTTCATCTCAAGCTCTGCGCGGCGTACAGTAACAGAAAAACAGCCTGAAGTCGTGGAAGTCAATAACGTGATCGAGCAGGAATCTGATCTGAACGTTTCTCTCTACTGTACGTCAAACAGGCTCATGATGAAGTCCACAGTGATGCGAGCTGCTGATGACGAGTGTGTGAGCGTAACAGCATGCCAGCAGAGCCAGCCAGCCAGGTGCATCGTGGGAAACCAGTCAGTGCGTGGAAGGGACGGACACTCACCCTGGGACTGCTGAGAGGACTGGTGGACAGACCGGAGGACGCTCCGCTGATCGACCGCGACCTGAACACAAAGTAAAGTCAACATTCAGACAGCGAACAAGAAGCTGGACGACACACAACAACACACACACACACACGACGTAAAGATAAGAGTGGTGAACCTTGTTGTGCAGCTGTTTTAGAAATCCAGCTTCTTTTATACTTTGTAAGTCTGTCCTTCAGCAGAACGCCGCCCGTTTCCTTTTAATCCTCCCTCAGTTTTATTCTGTGGTTTTTACAAAAGCTGCTAAACCCTCCCTGTTATGTCAGACATACTTTATGTTTTTAGTGAATAAAACTCACTTTCCTGACATAAAAAAAGAGGAACTCAATAGCTCAGTTGTGCAGCAGCTTATTATGAACCACAGTTACATTTGTATGTTAAACTTCTGAACCCCAAAACCTTCCTCCAGGCATTTATATTACCAAAATTACACAATTTATTAGCCAGAAACCGCAAAAACAGAAAGATTTCTTTACTGAATTTTAAGCTTTTCGACAGTCATTGAATGTGTCACGTGTAAAGTGCAGTTCCACCAGGAAAACTGAACAAATCTACACTTAACACTGGGATATTTCATCAAAAATCATTTCATTATACATTTTATTATGGAAATAAACCATCTGCAGTCAACAGATTCTGTAAAAACTACACCTAAGCTCAACCAAGATGCCACAATTTACTCAGCTATGTTATATGATAACAGTTCTGTGAGTTTTCAGGTAAACTGCAGGTTGTTTTTAAACAGCAGAGACGTGTAAAGTATAAAAAAGGTATGCATAAAATATCTGTTGTATGTAGAAAAAACTATTCCAACTACGAAGCCAACCAACAGTGACAAAAAAGGTTTTTAGTTGAACTGCAGACCGTGTTTCCACAGAGCAGAGAGGAGACGACAAAAGAGAGCAAAATAAAACACACTGGACCAATAAAATAACGTCACATGGCTCAAACACTGTAAACGGAGGAGCAAGTTGTTGGAGGATACATTCAGCACGGTGAAACATCTTTATAGAGATGATGTGCAGAGGAGAGTAAAAATACTGAGTTTGTAGAGGTTGTAAAAAGTGTTAAAATATCTAAAGCATGTGGAGCCGTTATTTTGTTCTAATATTAGTAAAATAACAGCTAAAGCTCCAAAGTGCCAACACAAGTATATAAAAGCACATTTATCGAAGGACTTCCTCTGACTTGTAGGAGCAAAGCTTGACTTATAGGCCAGTGTTGAATCTACGCAGTTCAGGTTTTTCTGAGCTAATTGAAGTTTGTTTGCTGCTCTGACAAATGCAAAAGAAAAAGATGTAACAGCCTTTAAAATGTTAAACTGATAATAATATACTACTTTATTCTTAATTACACTGCTTCAGCTGATGAATATTAATTAGTATTATTGAGGGAAATCGGAGATAATTCTGTGCTGCAGACATCGATAATCTTCTTAATCAACTTACCAAACCTCTGCACACTATTCAAGTCTAAATGCATTTGATAAGTAGAACTTATTTTCCAGTTTGTGGGTAAAGTTGAAGGATTTTTACTTCTATTTTGAATCATTATCTGCCTCCATGTCGCTAAAAAGTGCATCACAATCAATCTACAAGGCGTCCTCTCTATTGTCTTTTGTTTATTTGTTGATCAGGACACTACAGATACAGTCACTGCTAACTGCCACTGACCAGTCTGTAGATTGAACTGGGAGCTCTGTATCAGGACGTTAGCGGCATCGTGGCTAACCCCTCTGGCTAACAAAAGTCATGAGGAACAGTGTGCAACATCTGGCAACAGTCGGAGTGATTTCTGCTTGTTGAAATATCAACAAGATCCCGAGTTAATGTCAGAATGTATAAATAGTTCAGACATCACACACACTGAGCCGTAGTTTCACTGCAAAATTCATCAGCGCTGTTTCTCTTCTCTTCGTCAGCTTTTCCATTTTTCATCTACGTGTCATTAACTTTTCATATCTCCCTCCTTCTCTTTCTCGCTGTTGCCCGAATGTCGTCACACACCAACACACACTCTCACCACAAAAAAAAACAAAAAAAACAACATAAAAAAACCCGCACAGCCCTGCTGATGTCTTTGAAGACTTTGGGATTTAATTGTCCATAGACAATTTGGCTTTGTTGGAATTGAAAAACGAAAACAGTAAATCATAATTAAATATGCTTGAAGACACACGCACACACACACACACACACACACACACACACACATAAAGGAGAGGAAACATCAGATGCTTTAAAATGAGCTTTCACAGCTGTTTTGTCATCATGAGACAATAGTTTCACCTCCCAATCATGACATTAATGCCGGTAGTTTTGTTCCCTCTAATATTATTCTCATTATTACTTTTATTCCTGATTTGCTTTTGTTATAAAAGTGGGATTTGTGCTTATCTGAGCATCTTCAGGACACAAATTAATGCAAGAAAAGGTTAAAATAGAAAGACAATACATACGTCATCCAAGCCTAAACCACAGTTAAACTACACAGTGAACTTCTCCTCTTATTATCATTATTACTGTGAGATACATTAAAAGGGAAGTAGCAGCAGAGAAAGTCGAGCAGGTCTGTGAACCGAGTCGACACACTGAGGAGCTCCAGCGAAACATCACTGCAGGATGCATAAACTGTTTGACTTGTTTTTATCATATTTTACTCTGAGGAAGTCCCTGAAGGAACACTTGTAGCTCGTACCTGCTGATAACTGGTGGATGGAAACCTGCAGCGCACAGTTAGGAAAACACACAATCCTCTCTCTTATTACTTTCTTACTTTAGAGCAACAGAGTCGACTTCATTTGCTGTTGGTAGTGTTTTAATGTTATGTTAGTCTTCTTTCTTTAGCTGCCTGATTAAAAAAAACTGCACATTTCACTGTAATTACTGTAGTAATTACTAAAGTTAACATTAGCAAGTCATTCAAATTCTATTGCAGCTTCTACTTTAGTTGTTTTTTTAGTGGAGTCCATTTGCTGCTCAATATCTTGAGATCTGGACTTGAAGTTCTTCTTTAATTTGATTTGAAACTTGCCAGGCCAGAGCTTCTTCATGTTACTGTAAACAACTTGCAGTTGTCCTCTCTGTTGTAGAAATTCTGGGAAATGAAGACTCCCACAAAACAGCTCTAAATTACAATTTATGTCAAAAATCTAGTTTTTTTTTACATTATTATTATTGTTATTACAACATTTAAATGTACAATGGCCTTAAAAAAAACTTCATTTAAATCAGCATAATATTGCAATATTTGGGGGAAAAAAAGAAGTATATTAAGGATTAAAAAGTGGTAAAT